CCTCGCCAAAATACAAATCACGCAAAGTAAACGTGAGCGACCGACAATCAACTGAAATCAACCCCCAACCCCAAACAGAATCCCATCCCTCTTCTCACTCTTTTCTTTCTCACACACACACACACAGCAGGCGCACACGCAAAATAAAATATTCGCGTTGAATATTTGAAAATGTTTCTTTCTGTTCTGCGCCAAAGAGGTGTTTTTCATTTAAGTTTCTATTTTTAGTCAAGCGCACAGTTTCTCAATTCGAGAATTTATAGTTTTGTTTACACTGGGGTGCAATGGCTGCCAGAGTTTACAAGGCTACCCGCTACCGCTCCACTACCAACGAGAGCGACCAGTGACACACACCACACGCAACACACACACTTTCTGCGCGTAAAAGGTTGAAAGTTTAACAGCGTCTTAACATGCTCATTAAACGGCTATGACGCGCCTGTCACTGCAATGGCAACAATGCTGAGGGGCCAGGTCTAGTGTGTTGTACATACGATTATATGTTTATTATGTGTACATGCATTATACATACATATGTACGTAAAGAGTGACTGCTGCCGCATTCAAGGTTAAATTTGTTAAAGATTAACATTGGTTTTCAATTAAGCGACACGCGCGCGCTCTCCAAGGGGTGCAGAGGGGGGTGGCTGACTCTGATTGAAGCAGGAAGGAAGCAGAAGCAGCAGAGTCAAACGCCAATCAGTGACTCTTAAACTGTGACCTGTCACTCTCTCTCTCTCTCTCTTCATATGCTTCCTATCTCCTCTCTGCAACTTGTTTCTTAAGCGGACAATTCACATCTCTGTTAGAATGATTTAGTAGCATCCACCCTTAACTTATCCTAGCTGATTAGTTGGCACTTTAATCGTACTTATATGCTCATGCCACTCGCCTGCTTATCAGTAATTACTATTATTATTGCAAACAACCCACCCACCCACACACACACACACACACAGAAACAAGTAGACATTCTCAGACCATCTCAAACACTCGAGAAAGAGAGAGAGGAACACTTTACATGTGATAATGCCTATTTATAGAGCCGCGCCTTGCATTATCCCCCACACTTATGGGCATACAGTATAGTGAAAACTGATTGATAACTTGTGCCTATAGTAGAGTAATAAAACAACTTGGGAATTGGTTTTGATTTGGTTTATTCTGTTGACTGTTGTTGTTTTCATGTAGTCACGTAGGTAGGTGGATTGGAAAAGGGTTTTCGATTTCGTAACGCTATTTCATTTCATTAGTCGGGCTAAAAATAAACACAGCATTAGCATATGAATGCAATTGGGGCTGTTGATTTGTTGTTGTTTTTATTGTTATCATAAAACTCGTTTGCTCAATCGGAAGATCGATTGTTTTTTCTTCTTCTTCCTTTCGAAGGGCTATAAAAACACACACATGAAAAACAACACCCAAACACATGAATAAATAGAAAACAAGAGCAATATGCAAGCCGAAATGGATTCGAAGCTTTGAATACTCTTTGCATATTCATTGTTCCTATGGTAGATATTGATCCTATTTGGCATTGTCGACCGATCGAGCCATGGCTGATAACAAGATTGGTCGCAGAGCGGAGGGTTTAATGCAAACCCTTGGGCAAAATCATAATAATCTCTGAAAGGGTATAAAAAGGCAGAGTCTCGCGACTGACGACGCGACGTCAGCAGAATAGCAGCAATTGCATACATGTGTGTGTGCATGTCGAAGCACTTTTACCGTTTGATAACCTAGAAACAGCTAGGTATGTGTGCGTGTGTGCCAAAAGAGAGAGAGAGAGAGCGAGAGAGTCTGCGAGTCTAACATGTGGGCGCTGGACAATCGGCATATTGATAAGAAACGGGCGTGCAATCAAGCTCTCTGCCTGCCAACCGGTAGACGAAGAAGCAATTAAAATAAGCAATTGAAAACAACCGTTTACCGATCACAGTTCTTCTGTAACTGTACGCCCTTAAACAGTGCAGCGATAACACTAGTCGATCGACTATAACAGCCATCTGTTAGCAGATCTCTACTGCTGTTACTCTCTTCCTTCAGGATGCTGTTAGCATTTACCGTTAATGCATCTCAAACTTTACAGCTTGAAATATATCCAAGGAACTGCTCTCTCATTACGGAAGAGCCTTCTCTCCTGACTTACTCTGTTGTGCCAGCCTCTTTAATTCTTTTTAAACTCTATTTACAGTAGCGGGCAAGCCCATAATGATACCTATTAATCGTTAGTTCCTTTTTATTTTTTTTTTGTTATTTGGTGACTGGTGATTTCCTCTAGAAACAAAAAAATTTAATGTAATATGCAACCTTGTAACCGCTCCCCACACTCCAACCTATGCCTCGACCATCTGCCATCAAAAACAGACACAAAAGTTGGACAACAGTTTTTGGAAAAATATTTATGCATAACATTTTGTATAATAAACATTTGACGCAGTCCCCCATCCAATCGCATGATGATTAGGAGAGGCCTACGCAGCTCTTGTATAAAGTGCGGATGTGTGGTGTGGGCTGAAGGGGGTGCAGCTAGCTGGCTGCCAGTCAACTGAGGGACCATCAAAGAGGCCCCAAAATCGTCTCTTTCTCTGTCCCTTTCTGATCCCCCTGCAGTTCCATGGATACATCTAATGTATGTATGACTCCCCCTCGCTGAGAGGGCGCCCAGTAGGCCCAGGCCACAGTCCCCGTTCAGGCCCCGGTTTCCCGGACACCAACTGATGAATACGACGAATCTGAATCTGAATCCAAGCTCCGGACCGGCCGCATTTGGAAATCTCAGAAACTTGTTTATCCAACAACAAGACACACACACACGCGTCGAAAGACTGAGAGAAGGAGAGAGGGTGAGGGAGGGAGGGAGAAAAAAAAGCATTATAAACAAGTTTTTTGTTTTGTATTTTGGCTCTGCTGCCGCCGTTGTTGTTCTTCCTCAGCCGCGCCTCTGCCTCTGCCCCGCTTCCACTGACACTCTCCTTCTGCCCTGCTTCTTCTTCTCCTTTCCCATCCACCCGCCACCTAGTCTTCGTCTTCTTCTTGCCTGCTCTTTGTGCTTTTTTACTTCTTTTGCTTGTGTGTTTTGTCGCTGGTTTCGTAATTTATTCTAAAAGCGTTCCGTTTGGGCTCTGTATAGAGAAATACATATGTACATATGTATATCTATAGGCATACATATGCTGTGATATTCACTATGTATGTATGTCTGTATATTTTAATATAAGTCATACTCTATTAATGTATAAGGGTACCAATGACTTGCCTAGGCACTAGTAATGCACATCGTATGACATTTACGGACTTCATTTCCTTTAATTTCTCCCCTATCAGTCATATTAGTCATTACAATCTTTTCACTATAAAACAATTCCTAGTTATTTTGGTACATATATCAAACATAGTTTACTAACATGTAATAATTATGTTTGTATGTTAGTGCATTTAGCATTCGTCATTGCTCGACGATTTCTTATTATTCTCGCTTTTGTTTTGTTTTGAGCTTTGAATTATTCAAAATAACACTTTTGGTCTATTTGTCTCGACTCTGCCCATTATTATGATGATGGTTTTGGTTGCCTCTGATGTTGTTGTACGCCTCAGCGCTTTTGAAGTGGCTGCAATACAATAGAAACAACTACAACTACAATGGCGAATATCAAACCGAACCGCAAGTCAATTTGGCATTAAAACAAATGCAAAACTCAAATTACATATGTATGCACATGCCTATGTGGCGATGGGCTGTGTGCAATGGACGTGATTACAGAAAATACAAGCCTAAATATTGAGGGCTGAACAGAACCCACCTCCTCTCACAATAAACCCCTCACTCTGGAGTGGGCCCAAAGCTGCTCAAACTTGGGATCAGCTCAGTGGCTGTCAAAACGTGACAAGTGCTTGAGGGGATAACAGAGACAAAAAAGAGGGGGATAGCAAGGTTTAACCTTGAAATTTGTGGGAAAAGATGGTGGATACTAAGAGCGAGATAGCGAGGAAAGAGAGAGATTCTGTTTTGTTGAGGAAGAATAATCGAATGGAAAAATACAAATGAAATTGGTAGTATAATAGTGTTTTTTTAAGGTTCAGGTATGTATGAATCCACTTTCATTCAAGGTGCGGGGAAGACGGGGTTTTTAAACGTATACGCTTGATAATGAAATCAACAAATAAACAATAGAATGCCGGGAGAACAACACTCAAATGTTAAAATGTGGAATCGACTTCACTTAACCCCCGTCACAGCCAGTCACCCTTTGCAACGTTGCCTTTGGAGGGGAAGTAACTGGAAAATGTGTATGAAATTATGCAAATTACTTACAACAGAGGGCGTGACAAACGGAAAGCAAAAGCGCATAAATCATAAAAGGCACTACCAAAAAAGAGAAACAACAACAACAACAGAATATCCCAAGCGTAACAGAAGCAGAACCTGACGCAGAGATCTAAAAATACCGTCGATCAGGTTGGAAGGAGGCGAGAGAGCTAACGCGGATACAGGGTGTTCCAGGCACAAAACAGGTGCTGGGCCCAAAGGAAGATGTAGCTGGAGATGGAGCTGCAAGGAAATGTACTTGCCTGCCAAAAATAAAACCAGAAAAATACAGTTGAAAAGGGATGCCATCATGCCCTCACACCATCCATGTTTCTCATGGATGACACGACCCTATTTCTTCTTCCCTTTCCATTCAGGCCTACCATGTACATGCGTGTGTGTATGTGTGGGGGTATGTTTGTGAGCACGATTGTGCGTGCCTTAAGAATAGGCAGCAAAGAAAAAGGAAAAGCAAAAGCCATAAACGCCGGCACACAAAGCATAAAGAACGATAATACACACACACACAACCACACGCAGCATAGGCTTTATTTTTATGCTATGCTCTCTCTCTCTCATACTATCCACTCAATCAATACTGGAAAACACGCCATACACTGATGCGTATATAGAACTATTCCGGACTGAATGATAGTACATAATGGTAGTATTGCTACGATTCAACACTTACATGCTTGAAGAAATCCGTAAACTCCGGGTAGAATAAAAAATCTCTGGGATACTTTTCCTGGAATACCTGTGACAGCAGGGTCGACAGGGGAACCTCAGCACCGGCTCCAGCTTTGGTCGTCAAGCGGTAATCCGCCGCTGGATACGCAAGTACGTCAAAGGAGCGGCTGGGCTGTTGCTGCTGCAGCTTGGACGAGGTAGCCACAAAATTCGAGCATTTGCACGAGATCGACATGATGGGTTCTGGGATTATTGATAATGGTATCGCACTCTTATCTCTTTCTCTCTTTCGTTTGTCGGTACACTCGCTGCAGATCAAAGGAAGACGACGACACTCAACTCATTCAATTTGTTTAACCAACTTCTTGACTTCTTCAAAGGATTCACGATTCACTTTTGTCCGTGGCACAACACAACAAATTAATTTCTTTACTTTGGCAAATCAAGAGTAAAGCATTTATGTGTTGGTTCTCGAGTGTTGCTGAATTTTCTTCAAGCGAAGTAAGGAAAAATAATCAATCGAACCGACCCACAACCGACCCGTTCAATTTTTTTTCCGGTTTTGTTTTTCGGTGAGCGACGCGACATAGAGGTGTCAAACCATCGAGGGCACTATCGATAGTATCGATATTTTGCTGCTAGCCTCTACTATCGATGGTTTTGAGACTATCATGATAGTATCGAGCTACAGTCGTTGCGCTTTTAATATGTTTGGATTGTCTGCTATAAGATACGAAGACAAATTTGTTAACAAATCGACAGGTGGCATCTAATTTTTACAATGGACAAGTTCCTAAAAGGTTTCAATGGTTTTTTAATAATTATTAGAGCTATCACGATAGTATCGATTGTTTTTCAAAACATTCAACGTTGATATTCCTCGATTTTGATATTCCGTTTAATATTACTAGCTAGCTGGGACTCTCAGCCCTAAAAAAATAATTTTATCCAATTCCTCAATGAATTTTGTTTAGGATTGGCTAGCTTTCAGAAATATTTTTCATTGGATTGTTTACATATTAAGGTTCAAACAAAAGCGGCCAAAGCATAACCCGTAAATGTTGACTAAATGTATCAACCATGTTTCTTTTATGCGTATGTACTTTTGTATACCTTATTTCTTTTAATTGATGCTAATTTTGTTGTTCCAAGCTCCATTGAAACATTATTTATGATTTTATACTAGATTGACATGTTTTTTACCTATTAATGCATATGTTTTGTTTTATATATATACATATGTACATTTATCCCGGTTCTGATACCTATTATTTGTACCCGTGAGCTACAAAATTTCGTTTATGTCTTAAAAAAAAAGAGACTGACTAATTCTGCATTAATTGGAGCATGAAATTACAAACAATATCTCAAGTCCATAATATCCATTTCCCAAGGTATTCAGACTTGTTTCTCATTCCGTGCCAAAGTTGCACAACAATGCTGCTACTTCATTTCCCCATGTTGCTGAAATTTTTCCCATACAAATAAAATTATCTTACGGGAACGCGTAGTTACATGTGGCTCACACCACGAAAAGGAGGGGAAAGTCACCACGAAAGCGCTCTCTTCACCACGGAAAAGATAGCGAATTTTGAAAAACCACCACGAATTGAGAGCGAAAAATGTCAGTATTTTTTGTGCGCTAAATGGAGTTTGGCGGACAGAAATATATATATATTTCTACTCTTCCGCAGCTTTTCAAGCAAGCCCAAACGACAGCAAATATATAAGTTTTTCAAAAATATCTTTCAGTTCAAATAATGCCATTACAGTCGATAGTAATATCGATGTTTTTATACTATATACTTTTCTGTATATTTCGGTATATTTCTGACGGTTCAGACGGTATATTTTAGCGTTAAATTCGTGGTCACACAGCACCTGACGCTAGTTTTTGGTTATTTTGGAAAATAAATATTTAAAAACTGATTAAAACTTGCTCCTGAGACAGCAACAACATGACCGAAGTGGACGATGGAGCCGAGTTGTTGTTCTTCGACACCTTCTCCCACGAAGATATCACCGTGAGTAGCACAAAACTACGCACGGCTTTTCGTTCACACGTCGCACTTTGCTTTAGGACATAAACCTGGATCTGGTGCAGTTCCCCAAGCCGGTATTCATCACGCAAGTGCGCATTATTCCGCTGGGTGCCCGGGTGCAGGCCGACTTTCCGGGCGGCGTTCGGCTGGGCGCCACGAACCCATCCAAATTTGATCTGGAGTTCTTTGTCAACGACCTGGGCATGCCGGGTGCCTCGGCGTTCGAAAATCTGGGCTTGCTGCGCTACAACCAGAACGATTGCATTCACCTGGACTGCTCGCTGGAGAAGATCCCCACCGATGGCCTCGTCCTGCGCGGTTGGTACAGCACCATCACCCTGGCCGTGTATGGCATCCTCACCAATTCGGTGACACAGCCCATTGCCAGTCCAACGCTGCCCTGCGAGCCTGCGGGACCGGAGATGTGCAATCTCAGTGCGGAGGCGCACAATGTCCTGCTGCAGGAGGAGGTTCTGAAGGATGAGTGGGCGGAGCCGATTCCCGCAGAGCTGCTGGTGCCGCACAAGGCCGTCGTCAGTGACTACGAGCACGATGACTTGGAGTACGGGCTGTCGCGCGACCATCAGCAGCATTACCATCAGCATGCCGAGGAGGAGCAGCGAGAGCTGCGTCGCCTGCGACGCTCCACCCATTCCACGGACCGTTCGCCGCCACCGCCGCCACCCATGCGGACGCACACGCACTCGGAGAGCAACGAAAGGGAGTACATCAGATGGTATGGCCAACTCTGTCCTCCACTCCTCAAGGTTCAATGAATAACAGACTCGATTGTTGCGCTGTTTTGATTTCAGTTCGCGCGACAAGGGATCGAGGGATTGGTCGCGTTCCCCGGAGTATTCCAGCCATCGGTCGCGTCGCAAGCGCTCCGACCGCTCCCGCTCGGACGCTGATGAGCACAAGTGGCCACGCACGCCGCCCGCATCGATAGATTCGCCCATCAGACCGCGTTCGCCCGATGCCATGGACTACGATGACGACGACTCCCGATCCCACTACAAAATGCAGGCCTCGCGTGGCTATCGACACTCGTCGGAGTCGCTGCATCGCGACCGGGATGACGAGGAGCGCTCTGGCACGCCCCAGGAACAATTTGAGCCAATTCTCAGCGACGACGAGATAATTGGCGATGACGAAGAGGACGAATCCGAGGACGTGGCGGCGGCAGCCGAGTACGAGCGCGAGCTGGAGTTTGCCGCAGCCGTCGCCCCGCCAGCCATCGATGCGTTCGAGCCGTGGCAGAGGCCGCTGCTCATGTATGAGGGCGACCTGGCGGCGCACCTTAGCAAGGAGCTGGAAACGCTGCGGCTGCTCTTCAAGAAGCTGTCGCTGCAGACCCGCAGCGAGAGCGTCACCGCCTTCAGCGACGATCACGGCCTGAGTGCGGACGAGCGCGAACAGTTTGTCTACCTGGGCGAGCAGTTGAACAACCAGCTGGGGTATCTCTCGCAGCACTACAAGCGGCGCAACTTTGTGCTGCAGCAGTTCTTCAGCCACGACGATGTGCATCTGCGACAGGCGGCGAATGTCCTGCAGGTGGCACTGAGCTTCCAGGCGGCCTGCGTGCAGCCGCAGCCCGCGTTCAAGATACGACACATCAAGCTGGGCGCCCGCATGGCCGAGCTACTGGGCAGCAATGAGCAGCTGTTTGGCCACCTGCTGCAGGAGCAGGGCTTTGATCTGTTCGAGGCCGTGCTCAGCCTCTACAAGGAGCCCTACATGGCCCTGTCCATTAAGCTGCAGCTGCTCAAGGCCGTCTATGCCATGCTGGACACCCGGCTGGGCGTGCAGCACTTCCTCTCGCCCAAGACGAATGGCTACCAGATGGTTATGGACTTCCTGAAGACGGCCAAGCTGACTAGGACCAAGTACGCCCTACAGGCCATCATCAAGAAGCTGCATTTGTACGAGGCCTTGGCCAGCGTCCAGCAATGCTGCCGCCAGATCTTCGTGGATCGAGATGCCAGTGCTGTGCCGGAGTCAGCGCCAGATGCCAGCCGCTTGGAGATCTGCCAGAGGATCGAGTTTGCCTTCCAGATGCTGATGGACGCCCTGACCGCCAGCCAATTGAGTTACCAGCAGCCGCGCCGGTTCCTGCCCGTTTCCAAGAAGTTCGAAGTGCTCATCGATCCCACAGCCCAGCGGAGCTTTGGCAATGCCCTGCAGTCGTATTTCGTGCAGCATTCGCTCGCCGAGTCCGTGCTGATCATCCTGAGCAATCCCAATGAGGTGCCGCCCTCCACATTCCTGTGCACCCTAGACCTGATGCACACCCTCCTGCTGTCCCATGTGGGCATCGATTACTTTGTGGACGACGCCTTTCCCGTCACCCAAATGATCGTGTCCATTCTGCTCGGCTTGGATGAGGTGCCCAGCCATCCGAGGCCGCATGTGCTGGCTCCGCCAGCAAAGCTGGAGGAGGAAAAGGCAAAGGCGGATCTGGATCAGGAGAAGCCAATGGACGCGAATGAGCAGCCGAAGCCGGATGAGGCGAAAGAGGCTGCCATCAGCGAGGAGGAGCCAAAGCTTGCGCCCCCACCGCCAGTTGTGCGGCACCCCATTCTTCGGCCAGTGCTCCCGCGCCTGGCCCGCCTGGGCATCGAGCTGTCCTACAAGGTGCAGACTCGATACCACCTCGATGCCATTGTGTTCACGGCCGCCTGTCCCGAGTACGACACCATTACCATAGCCACGCACATGCACTCGATCTACTCGCAGACGTGCGATCCCGCCGGCAGACAGCACACTGTCGAGGTGCTGGGGCTGAACAACAACCTGAAGATCTTCATGGATCTGATCAAGAAGGAGCAGCGACTGCAGACTCAGCGCCAGCTGCTCAGCTCGCCGGGCACCAAGTACAAGAGTCCGGTGCTCAGCTATGCGGTGGACATGGTGGACGCCTGTGTGCGCTACTGCGAGCAGCTGGACTACCTCATCGAGCACGGCGGCGTCATACTGGAGCTGGCCAAGAACCACGAGACCTTCGAGCCATCGGTGTCGGCGGTGCTGCAGGAGATGTACGTGTACATGAAGCCCCTGGAGGCCATCAATGTGTTTGTCTACGACGACATAATGCCCCTGGTGGAGGTGATTGGTCGCTCCCTCGACTATCTGACCACGTTCCCCGGCGATCTGATCATGGCGCTGCGCATTCTCCGCTTTCTGGCCATCAGCAGGCCGCGCCAGAAGTCGCACGGCACCGAGGAGCTGAAGCATCGGTTTGTGGCCCTGCAGCTGTATGCTGCGGATGGGGTCCAGCTGCTGCTGCAGATCATGGAGCGACTGTGCACGCACTTTGAGCAGCCCGGCATACACGCACCCGCCCTGATGACCATCCAGGGCGTACATTGCTGCCAGATCATGCTGCCCACACTGCAGATCCTTCGCGAGCTGCTCTCCTACGCCATACTGTGCCGCAACGGCACCTACAAGGATCTCACGGCCATCGACCACCTGGTGAAGGTGTACTACCTGCTCTTCTACTACCCCTCGCGCTGCCAGGCCGGCGCAGAGGTGGAGCAGTGCAAGCTGGAGGTGGTGCAAAGCCTGTTGGCCTACACCCAGCCGCACGAGCAGGATGCCGAGTCGCTGCACAAGTCCCTCTGGACGCTGATGATACGCGAGGTGCTGAAGAATATCGATGGACCCGCGCACTTTATACCAGGTGAGTGCTTCCGTGCGAGATTCGAGTGATTCATACAGTTGTCTGCCCCACAAACAGGACTCAAACTGCTGGCCGAGCTGCTGCCACTGCCACTGCCCATGCCCCAGCCGCTGAGCGATCAATTGAAGCAGCAGCACAAGCAGCGACTGATTACCGAGCGGAAGCTCTGGTCCGCCCACCTGCATCCGCAGAGCGGGCAGATCGCCAAGCTGGTCGAGGCCCTGGCTCCGTCGAGTTTCCCGCAGCTGGCGGAACTGCTGCAGCGCGTCTGCATGCAGCTCTCGGATCTGGCCCCGAACATGACCCTGCTGATAGCCAAGACCATCACGGAGCTGCTGTGCACCGAGTACCAGACCTCCAATTGCATTCCCACCACCAATCTGGAGCGGCTGCTCCGCTTCTCGACGCGCCTCTGCGCCTTTGCGCCGCTGAAGAGCTCCATGCTCTCGATTCTGTCCGGCAAGTTCTGGGAGCTCTTCCAATCGCTGCTGGCCCTCAATGAGTTCAACGAGGTGGTGACCAATTGCCAGGAGGCGGTGCACCGCATCCTCGACAGCTTCCTGGACTCGGGCATCTCCCTGATATTCCACAAGTCGACGGCTCTGCCAGCACTGAATCTCTCTGCCGCGCTGCCGCCCAAGGAGCTGATACCGCGGATCATCGACGCGGTGTTCAGTAATCTAACCAGCGTCGAGGTCACCCATGGCATATCCATACTGGCGGTGCGCAATCTGGTGATACTCACCGAGCACGAGTAAGTATTGCCAGGCCAGGCCAGGCCAGTGCAGGCCATGATATGATCTTTGATTTCTAATTTCGTATTCGGACTTGGCAGCTTCACCTTTTACCACTTGGCACAGCTGCTGAAGCAGAAGCTCACCGAATTCCAGGCCTGGATGGAGCGCGTCATCCTGCACAACGAGACGGTGGAGTACCATGCCAACATCGAGTCGCTGATCCTGCTGCTCCGTTCGCTCACGCAAATTGAACCGCCGCCGCCAATGTCCGCGATGCCGAATCGCACCCTCAAGCTGGGCGCCACTGAGCTGGCCCAGCTGGTGGAGTTCCAGGACATTGAGATGGCCAGGCCGCCGGTGCTGGCACGCATACTGCGGGTGATGGACAAGTACAAGGCGGTGGCCAATGAGGCGGCAGTGTGCGACCTCAAGCAATTGATTATCCTGCATGCCTCCAGGCAGGAGGCAAGCGCCAGCATAGAAACGCTGCCCGCCGCCCCCGTGGAGACCGAAAGTGAGCCAGGCAATCCGGCTGCCAGCAGCGGCAGCACCAGCAGCACCAGCAGCAGCAGCACCAGCGGATCCCTTAGCGTGGAACCCTTTCTGCCGCAGGCCGAGGGCATTGTCACACAGTACGAGGCGCGTCCGATCTTCACGCGCTTCTGTGCCACGGCCGAGAATCCGCAGCTTACGGCTCGCTACTGGCTGGAGCCGCTGCCCATCGAGGTGATCGAGGACATGAACGAGCCGCTCTACGAGCGCATAGCCTGCGACCTCACTGACCTGGCCAATGTCTGCCTCAATCCGGACCTGGCCACCTCCGGCGACTCGAAGCGCACGCTGAATCTGTCCGGCTCGCCGCAGTCGAACCGCGAGATGACGCCCACAGCGCCCTGCTTCCGTACACGGCGTGTGGAGGTGGAGCCGGCAACGGGGCGGCCAGAGAAGAAAATGTTCGTCTCGGCGGTGCGAGGAAGAGGCTTTGCCCGTCCGCCGCCTTCGCGTGGCGATCTGTTCCGTTCGCGTCCGCCCAACACGTCGCGTCCGCCGTCGCTGCATGTGGATGACTTCCTGGCCCTGGAGACCTGTGGCGCACAGCCCACTGGACCAACGGGCTACAACAAGATACCCTCCATGCTGCGGGGCTCGCGAGTGGGTCGCAATCGTGGCTCGCGCATCTCGGCAGCGGCTGCCTTTAGGTAAGGAAAAGACTTGCTACGCCACCTCTGGCCGAACTCTGCATTCATTTTGCTTATTTTTCTTTGGACAGACAAAAGAAAATTATGCGCATGGGCTCGCCCTCCAGCTGGACAGAGTCTGGTGGCGGCGGCGGCGGCGGTGGGTCGTATCGTTCCAGCTCGGAATCGCATTTTGGCGGCAGCGACTCGCACTACTCCTCGCCCCACTACAGTGGCAGACCGCGTGGTCGTGGTCTGCGCTCCCGCCCGCCCTACCTGCGCTAAGGACGCAAAGATCAAGGACAGATCCATATCTGCATCTTAAGCTTCAATGTATTTCCCCTTAATTTAAGTCGAGATCTCCCGGAAGATGGGGGTTCGATGTCAGTTTGTCTTGATTATACCATTCGCAATAAAGCTCGGATCTATACACAGTTAATAAGGATCGAAAAGATCTGCGGTTTACTTTTCTGTTATAACACTGTGCAAACGCACATCATGGCTCTCCAGGGGCAGCTCCTCCTGGCTGACAATCTGCTCGTTGAGGGCCAGGGCCATGAAGGAGATCTTCTTGTGGGGATATTTGTCCGAGTGCTGGCGCAGGAATTTGTCATAGTAGCCCATGCCATGGCCCATGCGAGCACCGCACCGGGTGAATGCAACGCCGGGCACAATGAACAGATCAATGCCGTGACCTGCAAGGAGCAAAAAGAGATGAGATGGTGGGCTGCACCCCTTCGCTCTCTCTCTCTAAAAGGGAAGATGTAACTGTAACGCACCATTGGTCATGGCGTCTTCGCGTGTCTCCTTGAAGTCGGGCTGCTTGATGTTCCATTTGGTCAGGGGCAGGTTCTCGTACTCCTCCATGCCACGTAGGCGCACCATTTTCATGCTCGCGCCCTCATAGCTGGGCACAAACACCATCTTCTCCAGTCGGAACATCTCGCAGAGGAGCTCGGTGGTGTCCACCTCGCCGCTGGTGCTCAGATAGATGCTCACACGCTGCGCCTGGCGGAAGGCCTCGCTCTGCAGTACCTAAAAGGGCGAGCCGAACGATAAGATGTCCTCTCAGTCATGAGCCTGGGCTCGCTCCTTACCTTTGCGGTGACCGCATGCGATTGCCGCTTTATGGTCTCTGCTTTCAGGCACTTGAGTGCATCCTTAATGCGCTTTCTCAGTGCCACTTTCAGGCCATTTTGTATAGTCGATGCCATCGGCGCTTTGTCTTTGTCCGATGCGATGCCCAGACACTCGTCCAAACCGGTAAGAACTGTCTGCAGCTGCTGCTGTCGCCTGGAAGCGGGCATCTGTAGGTCTTCGCGGGTGCCGTGCCTTATCAGCGGTTTCTTATCAGTAGTCGCCTGCTCCTCTCCACACTACGATCCGTAAACAAATGACAGGGAAAAGTATCGAACAGCTGATCGGCATTCACCCGAGGGAGGGGAGGGAATCAATCAAGTTAAGTCCACTTTAAACATACATAGTATATATTTTTAGCAAACGATTTTCAATAAATACAAATCAATTGGTTCATTTCTTGACCGCCTCTGGCGCCTTGGCTTCCGTCTTGGTCTTTAGGTTCTTCAGCTGCTCCTTTTGCTGCAAGGGAATGGGAATGTGATGTGAGTCCTTTAGAATCTTAAGTCACTTGGGGTCCTCCCACCCACCTGCTTATGGAAAAACTCCTCCTCGCGGGCAGCCTCCATTTTGCCAAAAGAGCCGCCTGCCTCGCGGATTGTTCCACCACCGCCGCCTCCCTTGCCGGCACCGCTGCCGAGTTCCCCGATTTGTGACATTTTCAAATGCCTGCAGATTGAAAATAGATATACGTAGTTCAAATATATGTAAGATATTTTCTTATGCAATTTCTAGAATGTTACTGATGGAACTTACTGAATTTGCTTTGGGTATAAGCGCTGACTGAGACGACGCAACGTTAACATGTTTCTCTTATATACCAATCAAGTATATAGTATAGTTCAGTTATATATAAAGTGTGATTTTGCACAACGAAACGATTGCGAAAACTTGTGAAACTTGCGCGCGCCACAGCTGTTTTCAAAACGAGGCCTGCCAACTGCGGCCAAGCAAAACCAATCTGTTATCGGTAAATACACCAATCGACTATCAATTTCAAACTAAAGGAACTAACAATTTTATTTGAGCACAGAAATTCCCCGTTCTTTGCTCAACCCAACCGAAACAATAAAATTATAAACGAAAAACATTTAACTATTCATTGGATGCATGCACGGTGGCAAGCGGCTCCAACATGTTGCCAGCAGCATCAACGTCCTCGGCAATGGTCTCGGTCTCCTGCTCTTTGTGGTTACGCTCTTGCAGCATTTTAAAGTTCTCAGAAGTCTGTGGCGGTGCAATTTAAACTAAGAAACTGATATGCAGCTCTATCTATTAGTTTACCCACCTCAGACATGAAGAATGCCTCTTCGCGTACGTTCTTGTGTTTGTTCATCAATGCGGTGGTGTAGAGAGCAGCATTGTTAATGGCCTTGTGGTACTCATCCCAATTGGGTAGATACTCGGCGATAGCCTTCTTGTCGCGCATTTTGTCCATGAGATCTAGATTGACCGTGGTGAAGTACTCCTCCTCCTTGAGGCCGCCCTGCATCTTGCCCAGACCACCTCCCCACATATAGAAATTCGGGGTTTTCGTCTCACTATAGTTCTTCTGAGGCACAGGCCGGAAGCTGCGGGTGTTGCAGATGCTGCTAATAAATGCTACTAAAAAAGCAACAAAAAGAATTCTACTTACACATTCGGCAGACGCAGGCCCAGTCTGCGTTGCACCAGTGCGGCTGCAAACATCTTGAAATTCGGTGAAATAATATCAGTTTTATGGGAAAAATATATAATATATCAACGTTCAAATCTAGACAGTTACGACCTCTGACGGATGTCAAATCGGCTTATCCTATATGCATAACTCACTCACAACTTATTCGAGAGCAGTGATATTTATAAGTATACAGCAGCCAACACAGAATTTAAATTTAGTATCAATCCAGAAAAATGCCAGCAAAGAGCGCACAAAATATCAAAACATTTGTAAGTCTCGCTTTTGATTTTTTTTGTCGCAATTATTTCACCCCATTAAGAAATCGTTTTTCAGGGCAAGACTGTGCCGGGGCCAGCGGGAAACAATGCCATGGGACGCAAGACCAAGCCGACGACACCATCAAAATTAAGTTTGCCAGAGTGGCCCCTGCACAAGCGCAGCGGTGGGCGCCCCTTTCGCCACAAGACGACCGAAGGCTCTGATGGCGACTCGGACAGCAGCACGGCTCTCTGTCATGTTGTGCCCGTACGCCAGAAGCCGCTGGCCGCGTACATGCATCTGGAGAGTGCGAGCCCTAGGGCGGTCGGTGCCAACGTAACGCCAGGCATCAGCTATGCGGCGGCCGTCGAGAGTGTCGTTTCGCCCAAGCAAATGGTGAATGTCAAAATGGCCATACCGCCACGTGTCAAGAAGCAGCCGAGGCCAGCCAAGAACAACAGGAGGGCAGCGATCGATCCAAACTTTACGATATTCGACGAGGAGGAGCCCAAGCCGCATCTGGTCATTCTATATGCCAAGGAGGCGACTCCACCTCGACCCCTGAAAGTTAGACCGACACCCCGTGCCGAGACAAATCCTGTTGAAGAGATGCAGAAGCAAAAGAGTCATCAAAAACAGACCGTGAAAGTGCTCCCGAAGCTGCTCAAGTCGCAAAAGTTTTTCCAGAGAGAGCCGCCAGAGACTGCACCGCAGGATGAGCCACAGAATGAGTTCCAGGAACCCCAGAATGAGCTTCAAAATGACTCACAAAATGAGCTCCAAATGGTCATGTCTGAATCGTTTTCGACCGAAACCGACTTTAGTGGCTTGGAACTGGAATTTCTAGGCATTTCCTTCCAAAGTACCGAGTCTGAAGATACATTCGATTTAATGGCAGCGCCAATAGAGCTGACTAGGGCCAATAGGAAGAAAGGAGTGCCTTCTCCGGAGTTTACCGATTGCCCAAGTTATCTCAGCTATCACCTACGCAGGTTGCAACAAATTTTGGCCACTCAGTGCTCAGATTCTTTCTGGAACGAGGTGGCACTGTCCCAAAAGCCAATTGAATGCGAGCCCGTGAATTTCCAGCTGAACGAGAGGCAATTCCAACGGCCGGATTTGGAGGCAGCTGCCTTTTTGGGACAGACTAGGGCCATGCAACGTGCGTGGTTGAATGGTGATGTACTGATATCCTGAACAGACCTAGATCACACCAAACCACTCTTTTTGTTTTTATGTGTATGTTCAAATTTGATGACACATTTCAAATTAACGGCCACGAACACGACGTGAACACGACACGGCCTGCCAGCCCGCCTGCAATAAGTAATACTGTAAATAGCTCTGGTCCTGCCTTTCAGTATTTTTCAGCCAAAATAGTATTTTTTATACAAAAATTGTACAAGTATTTTAATGATCGATTTGGATATAAGCAGCACTGCGGGCTCAGCGCAGAGATGCGTTTGTATTCATCGTGACCGTTTATGATATTTTAAATACTTTATGGTATTTTTTGATGCCAAAATTGAGCAAAAAGTATTTTATTTTATCATGGTATATACTGGTATACAAAAGTCCACAAGTTGACAAGCAACAATGACGTCACATTCCGGTACACATTTTCGTTTTATGCTTTGGCCGTTTTTGTTTGAACCTTATTATGTAAACAATCCAATGAAAAAGAGTTCTGAAAACTAGACAATCCAGAACAAAATTGATTGAGGAATTGGATAAAATTATTTTTTTACGGCTGAGAGGGCGAACTATCTAGTAATATTAAACTGAATATCAAAATTATGGAATACGATTTCAATCAATAAAATAGAACGTTATCCCATTGTCGACCTGGGGGGTATTTAATATTTCCACGAAATATATGCAACTCTAACATATTTTACGCTTTACTGGTGAAAGATGTCGTTGGTCATTTTTGTTTTGTAAGTAAAGAGGAGGATGGAGCTACAAGGAGCCTTTACAAAGAGTATTACTTTCCGCGGTTTAACATACTTTTTAAATAGAGGGGTTTTAAGTGGGTTAAGTCTCGTTTGATCGCCGGATTGCCCTGGTTTTTCTGCCCTGGCTCCTATGCCCGAAAGAAAATGTTGTGTGTTGTGTTGTGAAAATGATGATTTTCCTATGATGGCGATATAGTTTTAATCAAACAAAGTGCATAAATTGTGCAGGCAAACATGTTTATTGAGTGAGGAGTAAGGGGAACCAAGCACTTACCGTGCGAAGCGAATGCGCTTTGTGCGCCTTCCTTTTGCACTTGCGTATGTGTGTGTGTGTGTATAATGGACAAGTTAAAAAACAACAACAAGGAAAATGCATCAATTGAATACCCGACCACCTACCCGACCACAATTGATGGCGAGGATGTGGAGAGCAACAAGAGCACACCGTACTTCACACCCATGGAATTTTTGCAAACATCCTTTGAGTTCCCATCGCCCACAACCGAAACAACAACGCAATCGCCAGGGGGTGTTGTTGTCGCCCCCACCACCGCCACACTCACCGCAGAAGCACTCGACCACGATATAGAGGACTCGACACGCCCCTATACGCCCAAGCAGTTCACCATCGCCCACGCCAATGCACCCCACCACGGCAGCATCCAGTCACCCACATTGAATCGAAAGTTCAAGCGTTTCTCGCTATACGATCGACGATCCTGCTCACCGCACATTGCCAGCAGCACAGAGGAGCGCCGGACAGGCACCACCGACAAGGAGAACACGATTCCAAAGTCCAGCGACGAACTGGAGAATAGTCTGTATCTGTCCAAGAGCGAGCACAACTCACCCACAATTATATTTAGAGATGAATCCGCGTCGACGCCCGGCGGCCTTGAGGCGAGTCGCCTCACCTATTCACCCAAGCTGCTATCGTCCATCAACAATCTGAATCTGTCCGGCCATGGCTCCCCCTTGAACATCATCAATTCGGCTGGCTACAAGAACGGCAACTTCTTTCGCTTCCCAGAGATCGATCATCATGTCGTGCAGGAGCCTCCCATCGATGCAGTACATATTGAGGAGGCGGCGGCCCAGATGCAGCGCTTCAGGGGCAGGGAGTCACTGGCCGCCGAGCTGGCACGTGCGGATGCTGGACCCCAGGATCAGCAGAGGGCCGAGGGGCGGAAGAATCGCAAGAACAAGAATAATCTCACCATTCGGATCACAGATGTGCCCATCAAACACGCTGGTGGGCAGGTATCGCCGCTGCCCAAACCAAAGACGCCCACCATCAAGAGCACCAAGGAGAAGGCCCGCTCCCTGGACTCGGCGGCCAACGAGACGGAGCTGTCGATTGTGGTGCACAACATAACCGAATCTCATGGCAGCTGCGAGGACATGCTGGACAGCCAAAACAAGCCCTTGGCCCCCGGTGGCATACACATCCATCATACACATCTGCAGCAGCCCACAGTCTCCTCCGCCGGCATACACTCGACATCGCTCTCACGTCTCGACAACAGTCACAGTGCCCGTCGCACGCCGCGCCGCAAGTCGCCGGGCATCGACAATCCGAACTGGTTGATGTACCATCGCAAGCAGAATCCATATCACGGCAGCAGCAGCACGGCCCAGAGCTCCCTGGACTCGGAAATGAGCCTCAGTGACTCGCCCCAGCGCAGTGCCGCCGAGCTGAAGTCCGCCTGCAGCGTGGACAGCAGCTCCAAGTTTGGCCTGGGCGCCACTCTGGCACCACGCAGCGCCCACAAGCATAACCAGCTGCTGCACTCGTCCAGCACCAATCTGAAGACCTTGCCCGAGTGCCTCACCCTGGTGGAGTTCTCCTCCGGTGGCGGTGGCGGTGGCGGCGGCGGCAGCTCCTCCGCCAAGGAGTCGCCCTTCAAGCAAAAGTCCATGGACTTGCCGATGCCCAATCTGCAGGCCAAGACGACGGTGTCCACCTCATCGATGAATCTCCTACAGCGACGTGGCTCGAACCACAGTCTCACGCTCAATCTGCACAGCTCGTGCGGCAACCTGATGAACAGCGGCCTCAGCATCTCCAACTACAGCCTCGGCTCCATACTCAACTCCAAGTCCAGCTGCAACCTGGATGCTGGTGGCGGCATCACCAGCGCAGCCAATCAGCTAGCAAGTGTCAGTCAGCACCAGACGCCCCAGCACCTTGCCAGCAGCAGCCAGGGCAATCGTCAGGGCCTATTCCGCAGGCGGGGATCCACGCACAGCATCACCCTGAAGGGACACACCACCACCTCGTGCGGCGACCTGCAGCAGCAGCAGCAGGCGATGCTGAATGCCGAGAAGTACAACCGATTGAGCATGCGAACCAATTCCACGGGCTCCGGGTCCGGATCGAATGTGCCCACACCCAAGCGCGGCCTGCTGGAGCGTCGCGGCTCCAATCAGAGTCTCACCCTCAATATGGGCAGCATTCTCGGTGTGGGCGGCGGCGAGCTGCCCGTCCCGGATGTGGGTGTGGGTGTGGGTGGACAGCAGCCCAAGGTGACTGTCTGCAGCTGTGCCGCCTCCAGCCAGGCCCAGCACCAGCGGAAGTTCTTCAGCACCGAGAATCTGAACAGCAACAATAAGCAGAGCAAGCACTTCTTTGGTCAGGTGTGCTTCGGCTCAGCCTCTGACCTGCAGCCCAATCCGGTGCAGGGTCCGGCCAGTACGGAGCAGGGCATTGCCTGCACCTGCGCCGGCACGGTGCGCAACATCATGACACGGCCCCTCTCGCCGCAGACGACCAGCGAGGAGTTCAAGATCTACTTGGCCAGCATCCAGATGCTGCAGAGTGCCTCCAATCCACTGAACCAGTTCGATCTGATCCGCCTCAATCACGTGTTCGATCACAGCTACAAGACCAACAAGAACATCATTGAACAGCCGCCGGTTTTGGGCTCAAATATCCGCGATGCAGAGATGGAGACACTTACCAATCAGCTGCCACCTAGCTCCGAGGATAGCGAGCTGCTCGCTTGCTATCAGGCGGTGGTCAAGCGGATTGTGCAGTCTATGCCGCAGCTGGAGGAGGCCGAGCAGAAGCGCATCTTTTGCGATCTGCACAAGGAGTTCTGGGATCTGCCGCTCAACCATCAGGAGAAGCCCATGGTCTTTGGTTCCCAGACGAAGAATCGCTACAAGACGATTCTGCCCAACGAGCATTCCCGTGTGCTCCTCGAGCCAGAGGCCAGCGAGCTACTCAGCCTGGAGCAGCAGCAGCATCAGCAGCAGGAGAGAACTCTTGCTGTGTCCGCGAACGAGGATGCGCCCTACATAAATGCCAATTATATCAAGGTGAGGCCGGCCGCCCCATCCAGCTTATAATCCAAATCCAAATGATTCTTGTTATTTTCCTCTTGCAGGGACCCGACTACGTGTCCAAGTGCTATGTGGCCACGCAAGGTCCGCTGCCCAACACCATCTACGAGTTCTGGCTGATGATCTACCAGAATACGCAGCGCTACATCCGCCGCTGCGTGGACGGGGGCAGCAGCAGCAGTCCGCACATGGAGAGGTCGCAGATATTGCAGCAGTACTTTCAGAAGATCGTGATGCTCACCAACTTCACGGAGGCGAATCGACAGAAGTGCGCCATTTACTTTCCCATCGATCTCAATGAGATATTCGCTGTGGCCGCCAAGTGCGAGGTGTTCCGGCTGAGTGCGGCTGCCCGGGCATACTTTGATCAGCATCTGATGCCCATATCTGTGCCGGACACTGCGATGGCAGCGTCGCCAATCAGTGAGCTCGAAGATCTGAGCCATCAGCACATTGGCGTCGAGTCGTTGAGGGTGACAGTGGACCGAGAACTGCTGGAAAGTCTGCCGGGGCAGAGCAACTTCTTTCTGGTGAAGAACGTGGGCATTGTGCGGCGAAACGGATACTCGGTGCGAAAGTTTGTGGTGCTCTACTGCATCCATGTGCCGCAGACGGCTAGCTATCATCTGCAGAAGATCTGCTGCTATCACTACTGGTATCCGGACTGGCCCGATCACCATTCGCCGCGGGACATCAATACGCTGCTGGACACTTGTCTGCATGTCCTGAATCTGGGCAAATGCGAGTCGGAGTTCGACAACTACGACGAGAGTCGAAGCGTGCGCAATGCCCATCTGATGGCTCAGCGTCTGGACATCTATAAGCAGGACATTTTCAATGCCGTGCAGCCCTTGCCGGTTATCCACTGCTCGGCTGGCATCGGGCGGACTGGCTGCTTCACGGCCATACTGAATGCCGTGCGACAGCTGCGTCAGTCGCTGGCCTACTCCCTCACCGGCATGCTAACCAAAGCACTGAATGTGGCTGAGTTTGAGCTCAACTCGGAGGCGCATCACGACGACAGCGACAGCAGCTTCACGTGCAACACCATACGGCATATTAGGCAGATAATTGACCACCAGGGGGTGCCGCCCACCTTCGACAAGCTACCCAAGATGCCAGACATCTTTGTGGACGTGCTGGGCATTGTGTGCAATCTACGCTTGCAGCGCGGCGGCATGGTACAGAATTCGGAGCAATACGAGCTAATACATCGGGCCATTTGTCTCTACCTGAAGCGAACGCTGGCCCTGAGGCGGTTCTAAGAACCCAAAAAACACAAAACCAATTAATAATTATAGTACTACACCCCCACCCGCGCCCCAATGTTGACGACTACGATATAAACGGATTAAATATGAATATGAAGATATGCGGATACAGAAGGAAGGAATGGAAGAACAAACACCAATTTACTATTTGTAAAAGAAACATTTTGTGACCCTTATTTTAATGTAATCAATCAACAAATCGACAAAGTAGAAGAACAAATCAGAGAAGATGAACAAATAACCATGGCTAAACGAGTCTCGAAACACACACACTTGCAACTTACATGGAAGGGGGCGGCACTGGCAACACCGGCACCGGCACCCTGGAAATGTTTGCTAAATATTACTATTACCACATATTCTACCATATATATAATGCATATACTTATTATATATATATATAAATGTTTATTAAGTGTTTGGATGTATGTGTCTGTTAAATGTGTCCTGTGTGCATGTATGTATGTACATAAATAAGTGTAAATGTTTTCAACTTTTGGTGTGAACTATGCTTAAAAAACTAAACTAAACTAAAGTTAATTAATTAACAATTATTATTATATTACCCTTATCCTTACAGCCCCCATCCCTTACCTTTATCGTAAATCCCTCCCTCTCCTTGCCCAACCCAACTTTACAGAACTCCTCGAATTGTGCGTGTGTGCGGCGGGCCCCCGATCCAACTGTGAGCTGGCTACCCATGTTTGGGGGCGAAGAAAGCTCACACCTTTTTCAAGTTGGCCTCCCCCCTCCAAAGGGGGGGTACCTTCTGACTAAACACCAAATTTCTTCAAGCCCAAACTGTTAGTTCTACAGTCGGATTGTGGGGCCACCACCCACCCCGCGCATCCAACCACACATCAACCATCGCGCTCAGAGTTCGTCGAAAAAACAATTTTGAAAACAGAACGCGAATAGTGGAAAAACCAAAACCATAAATGAACTTGTATTACTGTTTATGCAATGGAACTAGTCAAATAAACCCTAGAAACATTTTAAATGTCTCTTTAAATGTGTACAAAAAATACAAAGCGAAAAGAGTTTTATTTTCTAGTGGGGGCTTTAGAAACTCTACAGCAGAAAGTAAGCAGCAACGCATCTGCACCAGCCAAAAATGCCTTCGATTTGTTTCTGGGTGGAGGGACCTTTGGACGTCTAAGAATCTGTTGGACACAACACAATCTGCTTGAGCAACAACTGATAAATAATAAATGATGATTATGCATGAAAAGTGCTCAACTACTACTGAAGATATATGTAGGGTTATATGTAGTTAAAGTTTAAAGTTAAACATTTCCTGTGGCTTCCGTTGAGTGCGGAATTCAAACCCCCATAGCACTGTGAAGGGTTAATCTTGGCGTCAGCTGTTTCGGATGAAGAGTTTGGTACAAAGTCCGTCATCGTTGGAATCAGGTTTTTAAAATTTGTTATTGCCGAATAATTGCACTGCGATTAGATTAGTCAGTCGGTCTGTCTACACGGACAGGACAGCTACGAAATGCTACGAACTGGCAGCCAATCTATACTCGTGAGACTCTACAGCAGCATGAAGGTAAATTTGTTTGTTTTGGCTGCTGCAGCATCTGCTGTGACATAAATTAATGGATACACTTACTTGTTGCACGCACAGGTGAAAATTCCAGTGAAGCAGGGTATTGTTGTGGGCCAGCAACAGAAGCTGCCCGGTGGCCTGGAGTACAACAGTTTCCTGGGTGTGCCATATGCGGAGCCACCTGTTGGTAATCTTAGATTTCGGGTAAGTGCTGCACAAACTGCCATAGAGTTTTTTTTTTTCATGTAATTTACTTGGCACCTTTAGAGCCCCGTGCCGCAAGAGCGCTTCGAGCAGCCAGAGCTGGACTGCAGCAAGGAGAGGAATGTGTCGCACCAACGCGATCCCTTCACCACAGAAGTGGCCGGCTCCGAGAACTGTCTCTTCCTCAATGTGTATGCCCCCAAGAGCAGAAGTTCAGCGTCGCCCTTGCCCGTCATGGTGTGGATTCACGGCGGCGGCTTCTTCTTTGGCAATGGCAACAGCGACTTGTGAGTGGAGCGATGCACAGTAGGAGTAGGAGGACTAAAGTCTGAACCAAATTATTTGCAGCCACTTTCCAGCCAAACTCATGGAACAGGATGTCATTGTGGTCACCTTGAACTATCGCCTGGGTGCCCTGGGATTCCTGAGCTTGCCAGAGGAGGGCATTTGGGGCAACATGGGACTGAAGGATCAGCGCATGGCCCTGCAGTGGGTGCAGGAGAACATTGCCAGCTTCAATGGTGATCCCAACAATGTGACCCTCTTCGGCGAAAGCGCTGGAGGGTCGTCCGTGCACCTGCATACGTATGCGCGGCATGCCCACAAACTATTCCACAAGGCCATCATGCAGAGCGGAACGGGCAACATGGAATGGGTGTTTCAACAAGATGCGGCATACAAGACCCGTCGTCTGGCAGAGCTATTGGGCGGCGGCGATTTCGGGAGCAACACAAAGGACCTTTTGGCGTTCCTTCTGTCTGAGAAGGTGAAACCCATCGGTATTTTGGCCAATACGATGAAAGTTCTGACCGCGGATGAGCGGCGTCGTCACCTGCCGTTCGCCTTCAAGCCTGTGGTCGAGGACGCCAGCAGTCCAGATAGTTTCATCGATCAGAACATTTTGGATCTGATGCACAAGAAGGACCATGTGGGCAAAATGCCCATGATCATGGGCTATAACTCTGCGGAAGGACTGGCAATGATTGTGCGGGCCAAGTCGAAACTGGAGGAGTACGAGCAGGATCTGGCGCGAACGGTGCCGCGTGATCTGGTGCCGGACCCACAGGCCCCAGAGGCTCAGCAAGCGGCTGCTGACATCCGAAACTTCTACTTCAACGGCCAGGCATTGGTCGAGCAGCATCTTGATAGTATGGTGGATCTGTTCAGTGATTATCACTTCAGCATGGATCTGCAAAATGCCGTGGAGATTCATGCCAACTGTCAGACGCAGTCGCCAGTGTACTTCTATCGGCTGGACTACGTTGGCGGTCGCAATCTGTACAAACAAATCTTCCAGAACGACAATCTTCGGGGAGTGGCTCATGCTGATGATATTTGCTATGTATTCCAGACGGCAGGAGACGCGTCTCCGATGGAAAAGGAGGATGCGCTCGTCTCCGAGAGGATTGCGCAGATGTGGGCGAATTTCGCGCGGCATGGCAAACCATCCGACAGTTGGACACCAGTACAAAAACCTCAGCCTGGCCAGGCCACCCAGCTGGACTGCCTACTCATTGATCGAGAGTGTAGAATGCAAAAGAATCCCGATGCAGAACGCATGGATTTCTGGCGCAGCATGTACAAGCGATACAGCCCTCAGTGTTATGTGAGAGCCAAGCTATAAATTGTATTGAATAGTTATAAATAGAGAATTTTCTAATTTTTCAATTCATTTAAATTTGTCGTTATATATTGCGATTTGAGTATTTCGTTTTTACCCATCGCTATTCAATGTATCGATATGACGGTTTTCTGTACCGGTGAATCGATAGATCACAATCGAAAAACAACCCTGGGCGTCAGCATCGCAATTTGTAAGAAATTGCGGTAAAAACTTATATTTTGACGCCAAGAACGAAAACAGAATTAAATTGTGAAGAATTTGCAGCAATATGTACGTCAAAAAGCTAGTGCTCGACGGCTTCAAATCCTACGGTCGGCGCACGGAAATCGATGGCTTCGATCCGGAGTTTACGGCCATCACCGGTCTAAACGGCTCCGGCAAATCCAACATTTTGGACAGCATCTGCTTTGTGCTAGGCATCAGTAATCTGCAGAATGTAAGTTCCGCCAGCTGAATATATATCCTACATCGTTATTTAATGCTCCAGAAATGCATTATAGGTGCGCGCCTCCGCTCTGCAAGATCTGGTGTACAAGAACGGGCAGGCGGGGATAACGAAGGCAACGGTGACCATTGTGTTTGACAACACAAATGCCCAGCAGTGTCCGCAGGGGTACGAGAAGTGCCGCGAGATATCGGTGACCCGCCAGGTCGTTGTCGGGGGCAAGAACAAATTCCTGATCAATGGCAAGTTGGTGCAGAACAAGAAGGTGCAGGATTTCTTCTGCTCCATCCAGTTGAATGTGAACAATCCCAACTTCCTGATCATGCAGGGCAAGATCCAGCAAGTGCTCAACATGAAGCCCAAGGAGGTGAGTACAGGGCAGGCGTCTCTGCCGCTCTCTTCTGCCAGCTATTTTACTGTCTCTTTGCTTGCAGGTGCTGTCCATGGTGGAGGAGGCCGCTGGCACCAGCCAGTATAAGACGAAGCGCGATGCCACCAAAAATCTAATCGAAAAGAAGGAGACTAAAGTGCGCGAGACCAAAGCTTTGCTGGAGGAGGAGGTCTATCCCAAGCTGGTGAAGCTGCAAGAGGAACGCGCTGCCCACGACGAGTACCAAAAGCTCAAACGCGAATTGGACTTTCTGACACGCATCTTCATCTCGGCGAAGTACCTGAAGCAGTGCGAAGCCCTCAAGTCGCTGGAGGCAAGTGAACATAAAATCGACGCTCGCATTGCCACTTGCCTGTCGACGCGTGACCAGAACCTGGAGGAAATGAACACTATTGAAAGCTCCCTCAAGGAGATGCAGGAGAAGATTGATGCCGAGTTGGGTGGATCGATGAAGGAGCTGGAGGCTCAGCTGAGCGCCAAGCGTGCTCAGGAGGCCACTGCCTCGGGTAGTCTGAAGGCGGCCCAGGGCACCATCGAGCAAGACCAGCGGAAGATTAAGACGGCCGCAAAGAACATAGCCGATGACGAGCGTGCTCTCAACCAAAAGGAGGCCGCCATGTCGAAGGTGCAGGGCGAATTTGAAGCCCTGAAAGAAGCAGACGCGACCGATGCCAAGGCCTATGAAGCTGCTCAGCGGAAGCTGGAGGCTGTCTCACAGGGTCTGTCCACCAATGAGGATGGCCAGGCGAGCACATTGCAGGAGCAGCTAATTGGTGAGAGTCTCTTTTATGCAGTGATTACAACGATCAATGCTAACCTTTACTGCTTCCATTTTCAGTGGCCAAGGAGCAGTTGAGTGAGGCGCAGACCACAATCAAAACCTCGGAGATGGAGCTGCGGCACACACGAGGTCTCTTGAAGCAAAAACAGGGCGAAACGCAGACCAACGATGCTGCCTATGTGAAGAACAAGGGTGAGCACGATCAGCTGCTGGTGGAGATCCAGAGCCTTGAGCGACAGCTGCAGGGCCTCAACTATGAGAGCGGGCAGTTTGAGGAGTTGCGTGAGCGCAAAAATCAGCTGCTAACGCGCAAGCGTGACCTGAAGCGTGAGCTGGATCGCTGCAATGCCTCGCGCTTTGATCTGCATTACCAGGACCCGGAGCCGAACTTTGATCGCCGCAAAGTGCGCGGCATGGTGGGCAAACTGTTTCAGGTGATCGATATGCAACACTCCATGGCCCTGGTGACCGCAGCAGGCGGAAATGTAAGTTACTGATCCGATTTGGTTTTCGCGTGATGGGACTGTTCCCTGATGTTCTTTGTGCCTCCTCCCCCAGTTGTACAGCCATGTGACGGAAGATGAAAAGACCAGCAAGAAGATTCTGCAGCGTGGCAACTTGCAGCGACGTGTCACCCTGATGCCAATCAACCAGATTACCTCCCGTCCTCTCAACAGGAACATTGTGGAATATGCCCAGAAGAAGGTTGGCCCGGAGAACGTACAGTGGGCCTTGTCCCTTGTTCGGTACGAACCCTACTACGATCCGGTCATGAAGTTTTGCTTTGGCAGCATTCTAATCTGCAAGGATTTGGACGTGGCCAAGTTGGTAGGTGATGGGCAGCAGCATGGAAGGTCCTAAAGGTTATACACAATTATCATTCGTTTGGCTACTGCAGGTCAGCTACGATAGCCGCATAAATTGCCGTTCGGTTACATTGGAAGGCGATTTGGTGGATCCATTTGGCACTGTGTCGGGCGGTGCTGCGCCAAAGGGAGCAAATGTCCTGGAGGAATTGAACTCAATCAGAGAATTGGAAAATGAATACAAGCAACTCGACATCGAGCTGCAGAGTGTGCAGCAGGAAATGGCGTATGTATAGAGGAAAAGAATCCAAAACGAAAATGACAATTTAATCCTGATTTCCACATAACTTCCCTTGCAGTTCCATTGAGGATCTGGCCCACACGTACAACAAGATTAAGGAGAACCTTGATATGCGCCAGCACCAGCTGACGATGTGCAAGAATCGACTGGCTCAGACCACGTTTCAGCAGAACCAGGCCGAGATCGAGGAGATGAAGGAGAAGGTTCAGTCCCTGGAGCAGCAGAATGCAGATTCGCGGGAGAAGCAGAAGAGCTCCCAGGCCAAGATCAAGGATATCGAAGCAAAGTTATCCGATGCCAAGGGCTATCGCGAGCGCGAGCTCAAATCGGCCACCAACGAGGTGAAGGAGACCAAGCAGAGGGCGGAGAAGTCGCGGGCCAATTGGAAGAAGCGAGAGCAGGAGTTCGAGACGCTGCAGCTGGAGATCACGGAGTTGCACAAGACCATAGAAAACTCCCAGCAGCAACATAAGGAGATGGTCGAAAATCTTGAAAAGTTCATCGCCGATCTGGCTGCTCTGCAGGCGAAGAGCTCCAGTGCAGTGTCCGAGGTGGCGGCCCTCGAGCAGGGCATTAAGGCGCAAAAGGATAAGCTGAATGCCCAGAACAAGGAGATGCGCCATTTGATGGGGAAGCGGGAAAAGATGGAAAAACAGAACCAGGAACTTGAGCTGGAGGTGAAGAAGAAGGAGAATGACAAGAACAAGGCGGGCTCTCAGACCAGGGACGCCAAGAGGCGGATTGAGGATCTAGAGCTAAAGTATTCCTGGATTCCAGAGGAAAAGGGTGCCTTTGGCGTAAAGAACACCCGCTACGACTACAGCAAGGCGGATCCAGTTGACGCTGGCAAGAAGCTGGCAATAATGCAGGAGAAAATGGATAAAATGGAGCGAACGCTGAACATGAATGCCATCGCGATTCTGAAGCGAGAGCAGGAGAACTACGACGAGACCCAGCGTCGCCGCAACATTGTGGCCATGGACAAGGAGAAGATTAAGAAAATCATTGTGAAAATGGACGAAGAGGAGCAGGATCAGCTGAATCGAGCTGCCACCGAGGTTAACAATAATTTCAGCGGCATTTTCAGCGCCCTGCTGCCGGGCGCCGAGGCGCGTCTCAATCCCGTCCTGACCAACGGCTGTCTGACAGGCCTCGAGATCAAGGTCGGCTTCAATGGCACCTGGAAGGAGAGTCTCGGCGAGCTGTCCGGTGGCCAAAAGTCTCTGGTGGCTCTATCCCTTGTCCTGGCCATGCTCAAATTCTCGCCAGCGCCCCTCTATATATTGGACGAGGTGGACGCTGCACTGGACATGTCGCACACCCAGAACATTGGCAGCATGCTGAAGCAGCACTTTACCAACTCTCAGTTCCTGATTGTCTCGCTCAAGGATGGCCTCTTCAATCATGCCAATGTGCTGTTCCGCACGCTATTCGAGGAGGGTGTCTCCACCGTCTCGCGGCAGGTCAGCAGATCGGCCACAACCAAACGTTGATCTTATTCTCAGTTTTGGAAATTGGAATCTCTCGCCTGGCATGCACGCGAAGATTTATTGATTTTTTATTCATTCATGTACATACACACACATATTTGAAGTTTTTCACATAAATAAACAAGTAAATTCGATTTATTTAGTTGTAAAATTCAAGAAAAAAGGGTATTTAAGGGCTATTGTTCAATCTTTCTTGGACTGTATACCCGAACGTTATATGCAATTACCGACTAAAAAATGACATTAACATATCGTGACGGACATTTCAAAAAGGGTTTGAAAGGAAAGAAGTGATTTTGACATGGTGCTGTTTGGAGAGATGAATCTACCTACACTACCTATATATATTGTATTTGTTTTCAAAATTTTAAATTCAAAGTGTCATAATTCTTAATGGTATAGCGATATTTAGGATAATCGATAATTTAGTATTTTTCGGTATATTGCTTCATCGGTATTTTTTCATTGATACGATAACCGCGTTTTATTATTTCATTGATAGTTTAATTTTTTCTTAATACCGATAACGATAGCTTCGATAGGAAATTGCTCATTTTTGCGTTAAAAGTATACCGAGCAAAAACTTAAAACTTAAAACTTAATCCGCCTCTATTTAAATATTTGAGCCACTGGACCGTACTTTTTTACCTGAAATTTAATATAACAAATGTCCATGCTCATAGCTAAAACCGTTTTATGCGTTGGCCGTGTTTGGTTAAACCCATTTTATAAGTAACTCAACTTGTCCATTGTAAAAATTCGAGTGGAAAAACAAATATTCAAGATTTCGAACAAACGCAGATTCCTCCACAGGCTCACAATGGTAATTATGCCCTGCAAATCCTTCGATTTGATACGCGTGGTAGGCGAACAAAAAAAATAAATGTATATACACCGCTGGCATTTGCCTCTGGGACGACGGACACACACACAGAACATAGACAACAATCAAGTGAAATGTGCTGTGATGTGTGCCCACCCCGTCAGTGTCAGTGTCAGTGGCAACAATTGAATACATTCCATTCCATTAGAGGGAAAATATGCCATTTCCTCTGGCAGAACTTCTTCACATATTCCTTTGTCTGTTTTGATCCGTAGGATCGTGTGACGAAGCCGCAAAAGAAAATGCTCATCACGCTGCTGCGGGAGACCAAGTACATGGAGGGCAAGAAGGAGAAGGAGTGGTACTGGGAGAAGATCCAAGCGGCGCTGAACACCATCGGCCCCAAAAAGACCATCATACAATGGAAAAAGGTGAGTGGATGGGCGCATCCAAAGTGCAACACAAAAACACAAATCGGTTTGACTGTTCTTCCTTTTGCAGTGCTGGCGGGACATGCGGCTGACCACGCGAAAGAAACTGGCGGAGTTGAAGCGCTGCCAGCTGTCGGGCGGCTCGCCACCGCCCGGCATTGAGCTAAACCAGGAGGACAACGACATCATTGACATTGTGGGGACGGAGTACTTTTACGAGGAGATGAACGGCGAGCTGAAGCCGGAGAACTTCATGTCTGGGTTCGACTATGCGCCCGAGCATCTCTGTGACGCCATTCTGACGGCGGCTGTGGGCCACCACCAGCAGCATATGCAGCACCAGAAGGATCCCCAGTCGCATGCGGTACAGCAGTCGCAGCAGGATCATCATACCAACGATGGGGAGACGAGCGATGCGCCGGGTTCATCCAACGGTGGCTCGTATCAGGGCCAGGGTGTGGCCCAGCTGCAGGCGCACAATGGAGCTGGAGGGGAGCATGGTAGCGGGTCGCAGGCGCATCCGGGATTGCCCCAACATCCGGCCTTTCATGGCGGTTTGCATCCACATCTGCTGAGGCGGCAGACAGGCAACACGCCGCTGCCCAGGGAGACGCCGTTCGAGGAGAAGCTGCTGCAGTTCATGCAGGATGCGTTCCCCAAGAGAAGCAAGAAACGCAAGCAGCGCGATCCGGACAAGCTCTTTCTGCTGTCGCTCTACGAGGAGATCAAGCGAGTGCCCGAGGAGATACGCCTGGACGTCAAGTCCGAACTGATGCAGATCCTGAAGAAGTACCAGAAGAAGTCGCCGGTCAAGGCGGAGAAATCGTCGGCCTCCTCCACCTCCACGTCCTCAAAGCAGAGCACTAGCAGCAGCAGCGGCAGCTCCGTGGCCGCACATCTGTCCCACAGCATGTACCAGCTGCAGAAGAAGTACGACAAGGGCGAGCGCGAGTCCTCGCCCCAGTCGCAGGTGGAGCGGGTCTCTGCCGCTTCGGCCGTGTCCCTGCACGTCCCCCAGCAGCTGCCGCTCTTCCAGCTGCAGAAGAAGTACGAGGAGAGCGCCGTCGAGAAGGCTCACCAACAGCAGCAGCAGCAGAGCGAACAGCGCAAGCATGTGGAGGCGCATCAGCAGCAGCATGCGGCTCACCAGCAGCCGCCGCCGCCACCGCCCAACGAGCAGCACCTACACCACCCGCAGATGGCTCACAACATTATGTTTCCGCTGGCGCAGCTGCGCAACGAGCAGCAGCCGCCAACGCAGCAGCACCATGCCCACAATCCCCACCAGCAGCAGCAGCAACAGCAGCAGCAGCATTCACACCAGCAGCAGCAGCAGCCGCAGCAACAGCATCACCCGCCAACGATCTTTGGTTCGGCCGCCAGCACAACTGCCATGAGCGCCGAGCGCCCGGCCATGTCCTACGAGAATGTCGGATGAGTGTTGAGCCGTCTGTGGGAAGCCACTTGTGTGGCACCACGCCCCACGACGGTGTCACCCACGACGGCAGACCCGCAGCCCCACTGTTAGTTGGCCAAGAAGCTGCTTCGAACTTTGAACTGTGTGCAACCTAACCCCAGGTTCTATTCGTAATCTTATTCGTTTAATCCCCATGCTAGCCTATGCCTAAGCACGATCTACACTCTCTGAATGTAGAGCCATGATATGATATGATATGATCTGATCCTCATGTAAATGTTTCGGTGGCAATATAGAAGGCCAGCGTGACACCCGTGAATTTATCTCCGATGTATACACAAATGCAATAACTCAAATACAAGTGTATCTGTAGATCGTATAAGGAATGGCCACTGTATCTATCTAAGGGTAACTCCCATCTCTGAGCGTGGACTTTGCGGCTGGGTCATTAATCCTTCTGCTGGCTTATCCATTAAACTGTCAACCGGTACGAGTGCGAGTGCGCCTCTGTGTAGCATGAGCACGCCATGCCATAGAGCACGCCATGCCAGCCAGCTGACTGATCATCTGCTCAAAATAAGAGCTTTATCTGGCCCCACCCCCCCCCATCGCATGCGAGATGAGATGAGCGCTCCACGAGAGCAGAGCTGCAACATAAGCCAGCGGCGGTGAGTGCTTATCAGTGATGTGCGCGGCCTGTGTGGGTGTGTGGCAGACAGACAGAACCGAACTCGAATCCAATGGTTCTGGGCATTCTAGTCTGGCAATCGGCCGCATCGGTTCGTTGTCGCTGCGATCTCAGATTCCAATCAGATCCTGTGAATCCGGGCATGAGGAAACCGTTTCAAGTGCTAGATCCGTGGCTAATTAAGTAAACGAATCAACTAAGACGCCATGGCTGAAGGTAGGGCTGGGGGTTGATCAAGTTCATCTTAGCATTTGGCTCAAGATCTGCCACCGACGCCAAACCACAAGCCATGTTCGAGGGCTTCACATTTCATGTTCTATGTTCTATGAAGATCATCCGCTCACACATCTCTCTCTGATCTCTGCGCTCTACGCTCTACGCTCTGCTCTTACAGTCGAGGCCCGCACTGTGCTCTGGTACATGACATTCATGGGATTCATTGTGAACTACATGATTCGCATCAATCTGAATATCACAATTGTGGACATGATAGCCGGCAAAGGTGAGGCGGCGCCAGCGCCCCTCAATCACACCCTCGATCATCATCTGGCGGCGGTGGCTGCCTCTAATGCAACGGACTTTGCCTCTCTTCCGGCTGGCAGCGAGGAGAGGTTCACACTGGAGCGGTGGTTTCTTGATTGGGCTAATGTGAGTACGAGTGCGAGTGCGAGTGCGAGTACGCGCATGGATATGTGAGTCACATGTTAAGTGATTAATGGATGCAGCTTGTGAAACGGGTCGTATGAGTAACGTAATGCAATGATCATCCTCCATCTCTTTTTGGACAGATCGGCTACGATCGGGAGGGCTTCCACTGGAACGAGAAGCAGCAGGGCGCTCTGTTGGGCTCCTTCTTCTGGGCACACTGGACACTGCAGATACCCGGCGGCATTCTGGCCACCAAATACGGCACCAAGGTGATCTTTGGCTGGTCGAATGGCATCGGCGTCTTCTGCTGCTTCCTCATACCGATTGTCTCCTACTGGAGCTACACGGGACTCATTTGCCTGCGTGTCTTCCAGGGCTGGATAACTGTAAGTGGGTGTCCCCCAGAGGGAGAGAGGAATCGGCTCACTGTTTCCTTTGTTTAGGGCTTGGCCTGGCCCTCGATGCATGTGCTGACCGCCAAATGGATACCGCCCAATGAGCGGAGCAAGTTCGTCAGTGCCTATCTGGGCAGCTCGGTGGGTGTGGCCCTGTTCTATCCCATCTTTGGGTACATCATCGACTGGACCAGCTGGGAGTGGGTGTACTACATCTGCGGCGTTGTCGGCACCCTCTGGTTCATTGCCTGGCAGTTCCTCGTCTATGACACACCCGCCCAGCATCCCCGCATCGCCGACTCGGAGCGTCGCTATATCGAAAAGTCGCTGGGCGCTTCCGTGCAGAGCAGCAAGCCGGGTCCAACGCCCTGGATGGCCATTGCCACATCGCGGCCCGTCTGGCTGAATGTGGTGGCCCAGTGGGGCGGCATTTGGGGGCTGTTCACCCTGATGACGCATGCCCCGACGTACTTCCGCCTGATCCATCACTGGAACATTCGAGCGGTGAGTAGTTCAGTGCGAGAGAGTTGGAAGTGTGTAATGGGAGATTCTTCTTTGTGCAGACGGGCTTCCTCTCCGGCCTGCCACATCTGATGCGGATGCTCTTCGCCTATGGCTTCTCCATCCTGGCCGACTGGCTGCTGCGCACGGATCGCCTCAGTCGCACCAATGTCCGCAAGCTGGCGACCTTTGTCTGTGAGTGCTCTGCAACTATTATTCCCGGAACTATCC